TATTTTTTTTTTGATATCTAACAAAAATTATAATTCCAAATTAAACGTGTTGTTGTGAACTTTTAATGGTTTGAAAAATATATATATTATTCATTAAACCCAACAATATACTATACAAAAATATTTAAAACTTTAGATAGGTAACTACGATTTGAAAACAAAAAATCACAAAAAGTTTAATAAAAAGAATCGTTACATTCACAAAAAATGGTGTGAAAAAATTAATTAGTGATTTTAGGAATTTTAATGTTGTTAAAATGCTAAAGTTGTTTATCTCCTAACCAAGACTCTAGAAAGAAAATTTTACTCCACCACAAATTGTGAATCCAGAAAAACATAATAATTCACCAATGAATCGATGTGAAAGATAAAAATCATAGCAAAAACATAAAAAAATGTAAGACAAACAAAATACAATCAAACATCAATTATTCTCTCCTAATAATTTAAGGTTTTAATGAAATATAACACAAAGATGCATTCCAGCATCTTTGTTGAGATGATGCAGATGTCTCGATACAAGCAAAATATATTACAACTTGTTTGATTAATAGTTTTTTTTGACAAACGTATTTGATGCAAGAAAAAAGACGGCAAATCATTTTTTTTAGGGAATTGTAGTGAATATTGATAAATACATACAAGTTACGGATTTGTGCAAAAGAAGATATCTTCATATGCATACGCTGTAATTTTTATTAATGAACGATCTATTTCTTTTCACATATAACATTGTATATGTCCAACAATTTGTTCAAAATGCGTAATCTTTTAACCTATATTATTATTTATTACTAACAACTTTTGTAATATTAAATACAAAACCTAAAATTATTGTCATATAAGATAGAATTATTGCATATTTAACAATTTTAATTTTTAAATCTATGCAACGCGTGGATAATCTTTAATATATATTATAAAAAAATGGGTTACATCTACTCTGTGATCGACAAAGGCTCTTTTTTTGTTTTCGAAGGGAGAAAAAGAAAGGCTTCGCATTATAGAGTTGGCCTTTCGTCTTTTTGACCAAATACAATGTCCCTTGCCAATAGACGCACTATTCTGGGTTTATGAACTCTGTATTTATCTCCTTCTAACGCATTGAATCTCACGATTAAATAATTAAATATATTTTTAATCGAATTTAATATTTAGACGTATATTCTAACATTTATAAACAAACAAAAATGATATGTATTGTGCATACATATACTAAAGCTAATTTTTGATCAAACATAAAAATATATTTTATCTTTGTTATTTTTCATTTCTCCCATCTATTAAAAATAATCATGAATGTTTGTTTTTGAATATTTTAATACCGCTTTTGACTCGGATAAAAAGAATTTAGTATTATTGAAAAAATAAGATATTTTCAAATATTTTCAATATTCCTTAAATAAAATAATCTATATTAATTTACCACATATTCGTTATTTCCATATATTTGTTATTAAGAATTTTTATTA